TCCATGGCGGCTCGGCCATGTTAGCGGGGCCCGGCCGGGGCCGGAGCGGCTCCCGCGGGCTCCTCCGCCCGGGAAAGGGCTCGGGGGCCGCGGGGATGAGCCTTTAGGTGCCGCTGGGGCCGCCCGTTCCCCTCCGCTGGCGGCCGCGGGGCCGGGCCCAGCGCTCCGAGCCCTCTCCGGGGCCGCCTCATCCCCGGGTCTCCTCCGGCCGCCCCTTCCCGGATCTTCCGCTCCCTTTTCCCCGGCTCTCCCCGCTCCTTTCCCTGGATCTCCCTTTTCCCTGGATCTCCTCCCCGCTCCCTTTTCCCCGGCTCTCCCCGCTCCTTTCCCTGGATCTCCCTGTTTCCCGGCTCTCCCCGCTCCTTTTCCCGGCTCTCCCATCCCGGGCTGGGCCGTGGCCGGTCCCTCCCTGGCCCCGGGGACGCTCGGTGTCGTGGCAGCTGCGGGCCGTGGCACCCGAGCGCGGGGGGATCGGGCGGCGAGCGGGGCTTTGGGTGGAGATTAAAGCGGCTCCGTGCACGGCCAGGGGATTTGCAGGAGCAGAGCGGCTGGGCAGGAGGAGCTGCGAGCGCCCGGTGCCCGTGAGTGACGCCAGGAGCTGCAGAGCCAGCGGGGTCAGGGCTGGCTGTCCCTGCGTGTCCCGGGCCGTCTGAAAGGGCCCGGCCTGGGGCAAAGCTGGGCTTGGCACGGGTCACCCAGAGCAGCTGTGGCTGCCCCTGGATCCCTGGCAGTGCCCAAGGCCAGGCTGGACAGGGCTTGGAACACCCTGGGACAGTGGGAGGTGTCCCTGTCCATGACGGGGTGGCACTGGATGGGCTTTGAGGTCCCTCCCAACCCAAACCATTCCAGCATTCCATGATAACCTGGTGGAGTTCAGGCTCACCTCTGTGCCCGCACATCACAGCAGCAGCCACCCAGGTGTGGCCTTTGTCACCTTTACATCCACTATGCTGACAGTCCCAGTTGGATTAGAGCACCTCAGTTTTGTGTTGTGTTGGGAGCAAAACAAACTCTGCTGCAAAAGGTCTGAGAGCCTCAACTCAAACCCCCAAGCAGCGATGCCACTTGAGGAGTTTGAGGTGATAATTCATGCTGAGCTTGTGCTGTGCAGGTGGCAGAGATGGCCCAGCAGCCCCCAGCCTCTCCCTCTGGGAAGGCAGAGTGGTTTAAAATGACTCCCTGGGAGTTGGCTGATGTGAGCAGGAGAGGTAAAATGGGAGCGCTGCGAAGGAGGAATTTGGAGAGCGCCACGAGCCTTCTGGCCAAGGCTCATTTTTGCATCTTGCTGTCAAGAATGTGTGGGGTAAAAGCAGGTTTTGGGAGTGGTTTGTGAGAGCTGGGGCTGTGTCTGGGGGGACAGGGGTGTTTCCCCCCAGGTGTTTGGGGACAGCAGGTCTGTGCTGGTGCTTGGTGGTCCTGGTGGCACAGGGGGGTTGATTCCTTCACGTCCTGAATTCCTGGAGGTTCCTGGATGTGGAATCCATGCTGGGCACAGTGTTTGGTGCCATCAGTGGCTTTGTGTCACCAGCCTGAGGTTGAGCTCATGTGCTGAGCCCTGCCCAGGCACCTGTGTCACCTCACTGACACTGTCACAGGGAGGTCAGTCCTGTGGGGACACGTTTTGTGACCCCCGTGGTGTGGGGGACAAAGTGGGAGGGGACAAACCCAGCTGACCTGGTTTGGCCCCTCGTTAGCAGAGCCTGAAGCTGACTCTGAAAGCTTTATTGATGTGCAGGGAGCTTTGGGATGTGACCTCGTGGTTCCAAACCCCTGGAGGATGGGGGCTTGATGGGGACAGCAGGAGTGTGTTGGTGGCCTGTGCTTAGAGGGTGAAACCCCAGCCACAGTGAGGGACTGTCACCAAAAGTTACTTGGCTTTAAGGTTTTAAATTTGAGTGAGGAGGAACTGGAGGCACAGCCGAGTTCTGGGTGTGTTGGTGATGTCACCTCGAGGCCTGGGGGACGGTGGCAGCTGTGGTGACAGCTGTGGGTGTCCCTGTGCAGGTGAAGGAGCTGGTCCTGGACAACTGTCGCTCAGAGGATGGCAAGGTGGTCGGCCTCTCCTCAGACTTTGAGAACCTGGAGTTCCTCAGCATGATCAACATCAACCTGCTGTCTGTGTCCAACCTCCCCAAACTCAACAAGCTCCGGAAGGTGAGTCAGGACTCTGCTCCCATCTCCAGCAGCCCCTGGTGGCTGTTGGTTTTCCTCTATTTGCCAGAAAATACATTGAATTTTGCTCCTTCCTTGCTGTCTGAGCAAGTGAGAGGGGTTGGTTTTAATGTGCAACAAAACCCTTCTGAGCTCTTCAGGCGCTTAGTGCCCTTCCTGTCTTGCTCTGTTACTGTCAGAAGCTTCATGACACCATAAATATTTTGGATTTTGAAGCACTTACCATCACGGGGGTGGCTGGCAGCCCTGCAGGAAAGGGTTTTTAAGGGCAAACTTGACCTGCTGCTCTGTGAGCTGAAATTTGGGTGCTCATTGTAGCCCAGTTCTCAGTGCAATTTCCTTCCCTGTATCACGAGCTGAAACACTTGGTGACCATGTGATATTCCCTCTCTTCAGCTGGAGCTGAGTGATAATAGGATTTCTGGTGGCCTTGAAGTTCTAGCAGAGAAAACTCCCAACCTGACACACTTGAACCTAAGTGGCAACAAGATCAAAGACATCAATACCCTGGAGCCCTTGGTGAGTGGAGGCTGTGCTGGAATCCCAGGGAAGGCTTTTCCTTTGGGGATTGGGTCTGAGCAGCTGGAATCCAACGTCTTGGTAACTGTTCCAACAGCACTTCGTGGTTCTGATGGGAACAGATTTGATCCCAGTTTGAGGCTGGGCCAGTAGTTAATGGCTCCTCAGTCTGGAAAAGCAGCAGCCAGTTGCTAAAAGAAGCGTGAAATGGGGCTGGATGAGTAAAACTGTGGATGCTCAGTGCCCAGCTGAGAAGGGACCGGGAAAGGGTCGGAGGCAGTTGGAGGTAGGTGGCACCTGGGGTGTCATGGAATGAGGTAACTGGGCAGCACTGAGGGCATGTCCCATCAGCCTGAAGGTTCTGCTGTCCCAGCACTGCAGGGCTCCCATTCCCACAGCGGTCAGGGAGGCTGGAAAAGGCCTTTGAGGCTCCACCTGAGCTGCCCCAGGAATGCTGTGAGGGATTCCTGAGTCTGACACAGGGCATTTGTCTCACTGGCTGTTTTGTCCATCCATTCCCTCCAGAAGGAATTTGGGGTTGTTTTGCTCCTCCTTTCCTTGGCGTGGTGCCTGCTGTGGTGGCCTGAGCTGGGCAGTGCCAAGGGCACCCAGGCTGCAGCTCTCCCTGAGCTCTGCCTGATCTTTTGAGCAGGATGAGTCCAGCTCAGCTACTCCTGAGCTTGCTGAGCCTGCTCAGAAGAAAGATGGATTTGCAAATACACAGAGAGTTTGTTTCAGAAAGGGAAGCAGGACAGAGGAGCTGGACAGAAATTTCTTGTGCCCACAATGAGAGGAGCAGTGACTCCTCTCCATCCGAGGAGCATGTGGGGCAGAACCACTCTGTGCTGGACCTGGGCAGTGCCCCAGCCACCCTGCCTTATCTTCCTGATCTTCAGACAGCACTGTAAATAATCTTAACAAATTGATTTTTGCAGAAAAAGTTGCCAAACCTCCACAGTCTGGACCTGTTCAACTGCGAGGTGACGATGCTCATCAACTACCGGGAGAGCGTGTTCGCCCTCCTGCCCCAGCTCACCTACCTGGATGGCTTTGATGCTGACGAGCAGGAAGCCCCTGACTCCGACCCTGAAGCAGATGGGGATGCACTGGAAGATGATTATGAGAATGGGGAAGGTGAGGGTTTTGTCTCCTCCTGGTTTTCCTGCTTGGCAACGACCCCTTTTGCACTTATGGGGGGGTTCCACCGATGGGGCTGGCACTGGAGGAGGGGCTGTGTGGGCCCCTCAGCCCTTCTCCCTCCCCCACCCCACTCCTGGGAGGGACTGGGACTTGCTGGGAGGTGACAAGGCTTGGTGCTGTCCCTCCTCTGTGACCCCTGCCTGCTGCTCACACAGCGGTGAGGGGTGCCTGGGTTTGGGAACTGGGGCACTTCCCTCCCTCCCCCTTTTAGTAGAAGGTGAGGAAGAGGAAGATGATGAGGAGGAAGATGATTTGGATGAAGAAGTCATTGATGATGAGGAAGATGAAGACGATGATCTGGAAGGTGAAGAGGAGGAGGATGGAGTAGATGATGAGGTGAGGCTGTCACCAGGCCACGTTTGTCCCTTGTCTGGTGACCCAAGTGTCACAGGAGCCTCTCTGAGGAGTTTGCCATCCGCTCTGGACTGCTGAGAGTCACAGACTCCAGAGAGTTTCCAGTTCAGCCTTGGCCTGGCACTTCCATGGCTCTGATGGTGGATCCATGCAGCCCCATCCGTGGGATGTGAGGAGCTCTTGGAGATCCAGCAGCTTCTCCTGCCACCCTCAGGCTTCAGTGGGGTGGCAAAGGGGAAGGAGGACTGGGGTTACTGCTCATGGAATTGTTCTTGCTACAAATCCTCTTGTTTTCACTCCAGGAGGAAGATGAGGAGGAGGATGGTGAGGAGGATGAAGAAGATGAAGCTGAGGAGGGTGAGTTGAGTCCTAACAATCCAATTTCTTGCAGAACTCCCTCAAGAGTCAAATATTCGGTGGTTTTGGAGCTTGCTCAGCCTCAGTGCAGGGCTGTTGTTCCTGCAGCTTTTCTGCCCAAGCTGGTGCTGAGCAGTGTCATCACCAAGGGTCACACAGGGAGGGAAAGGGATGAAATTCCAACCATGCTGGGTAATTCTGGGAAATGTGAGAGGTCAACTGCTTAGAAAAGCAGTTCTGGGAACTGATGGGCCATGCAGGAGCAGGGCTGCTGTCCCAGGAGGGTGTGAGGGAATCTCTTGGGGGTCCATTCCCCTCTCAGACCTGAGCTTGGGGCCAGACTCCTGGTTGTACAAACATGAACACCCGGATGAGAGTTGATAGAATATTGTGGCTGGTGTGATTTCAAATAATCTTGATGAATCATGGAATTGTTAAGGTTGGGAAACCCCTCTAACACTGCGTCCAACACCACCATGCTCACCACTGGCCCCTGTCCCCAAGGTCCACATCCACATTTTTTTAAAGAGTTCCAGGGATGGTGATTCCACCACTGCCCTAGGCAGCCTGTGCCAATGCCTGATCACCTTCTCCTTGAGGGAATTTTTCCCAATATCCCATTTAAACCTCACCTGGTGCAACATGAGGCCATTTCCTCTTACCCTGTCACTTGTTACCTGGGACAAGACTGCCTCCCCCAGCTGTCCCCTCTTGTCAGGGAGCTGTGCAGAGCCACAAGGTCCCCCCTGAGCCTCCTTTTCTCCAGGCTGAGCCCCTTCCCAGCTCCCTCAGCCCCTCCTGGTGCTCCAGACCCCTCCCCTGGACATGCTCCAGCCCCTTCAGGTCCTTGTCAGGAGGGCCCCAAAGCTCCCCCAGGACTTGAGGCCTCAGCAGTGCCAGCCCAGGGGCCCTGAGCTTGGTCAGGAGTGCCTGATTTCTGCAGATGCTGTGTTTTTGAGGGTGCTCAACAAAAAAAAAAATAAATTGCTTTTTAGCTGTTATGCAGATGCTTGGAGGGCAGAGAAAGTTGTTGGTGTCTCGTGTCAGCCCAGGCTTTTGCAGGAGGAGCAGGGCGGATCTGTTCCCAAATGGTGCCAGTCTGTCCTGTGCCTGCTCCCACTGCAGAGCTCAGCTGCTGTTCCCAGAAAAAGTTGCCAAACCTCCACAGTCTGGACCTGTTCAACTGCGAGGTGACGATGCTCATCAACTACCGGGAGAGCGTGTTCGCCCTCCTGCCCCAGCTCACCTACCTGGATGGCTTTGATGCTGACGAGCAGGAAGCCCCTGACTCCGACCCTGAAGCAGATGGGGATGCACTGGAAGATGATTATGAGAATGGGGAAGGTGAGGGTTTTGTCTCCTCCTGGTTTTCCTGCTTGGCAACGACCCCTTTTGCACTTATGGGGGGGTTCCACCGATGGGGCTGGCACTGGAGGAGGGGCTGTGTGGGCCCCTCAGCCCTTCTCCCTCCCCCACCCCACTCCTGGGAGGGACTGGGACTTGCTGGGAGGTGACAAGGCTTGGTGCTGTCCCTCCTCTGTGACCCCTGCCTGCTGCTCACACAGCGGTGAGGGGTGCCTGGGTTTGGGAACTGGGGCACTTCCCTCCCTCCCCCTTTTAGTAGAAGGTGAGGAAGAGGAAGATGATGAGGAGGAAGATGATTTGGATGAAGAAGTCATTGATGACGAGGAAGATGAAGACGATGATCTGGAAGGTGAAGAGGAGGAGGATGGAGTAGATGATGAGGTGAGGCTGTCACCAGGCCACGTTTGTCCCTTGTCTGGTGACCCAAGTGTCACAGGAGCCTCTCTGAGGAGTTTGCCATCCGCTCTGGACTGCTGAGAGTCACAGACTCCAGAGAGTTTCCAGTTCAGCCTTGGCCTGGCACTTCCATGGCTCTGATGGTGGATCCATGCAGCCCCATCCGTGGGATGTGAGGAGCTCTTGGAGATCCAGCAGCTTCTCCTGCCACCCTCAGGCTTCAGTGGGGTGGCAAAGGGGAAGGAGGACTGGGGTTACTGCTCATGGAATTGTTCTTGCTACAAATCCTCTTGTTTTCACTCCAGGAGGAAGATGAGGAGGAGGATGGTGAGGAGGATGAAGAAGATGAAGCTGAGGAGGGTGAGTTGAGTCCTAACAATCCAATTTCTTGCAGAACTCCCTCAAGAGTCAAATATTCGGTGGTTTTGGAGCTTGCTCAGCCTCAGTGCAGGGCTGTTGTTCCTGCAGCTTTTCTGCCCAAGCTGGTGCTGAGCAGTGTCATCACCAAGGGTCACACAGGGAGGGAAAGGGATGAAATTCCAACCATGCTGGGTAATTCTGGGAAATGTGAGAGGTCAACTGCTTAGAAAAGCAGTTCTGGGAACTGATGGGCCATGCAGGAGCAGGGCTGCTGTCCCAGGAGGGTGTGAGGGAATCTCTTGGGGGTCCATTCCCCTCTCAGACCTGAGCTTGGGGCCAGACTCCTGGTTGTACAAACATGAACACCCGGATGAGAGCTGATAGAATATTGTGGCTGGGGGGATTTCAAATAATCTTGATGAATCATGGAATTGTTAAGGTTGGGAAACCCCTCTAACACTGCGTCCAACACCACCATGCTCACCACTGGCCCCTGTCCCCAAGGTCCACATCCACATTTTTTTAAAGAGTTCCAGGGATGGTGATTCCACCACTGCCCTAGGCAGCCTGTGCCAATGCCTGATCACCTTCTCCTTGAGGGAATTTTTCCCAATATCCCATTTAAACCTCACCTGGTGCAACATGAGGCCATTTCCTCTTACCCTGTCACTTGTTACCTGGGACAAGACTGCCTCCCCCAGCTGTCCCCTCTTGTCAGGGAGCTGTGCAGAGCCACAAGGTCCCCCCTGAGCCTCCTTTTCTCCAGGCTGAGCCCCTTCCCAGCTCCCTCAGCCCCTCCTGGTGCTCCAGACCCCTCCCCTGGACATGCTCCAGCCCCTTCAGGTCCTTGTCAGGAGGGCCCCAAAGCTCCCCCAGGACTTGAGGCCTCAGCAGTGCCAGCCCAGGGGCCCTGAGCTTGGTCAGGAGTGCCTGATTTCTGCAGATGCTGTGTTTTTGAGGGTGCTCAACAAAAAAAAAATAAATTGCTTTTTAGCTGTTATGCAGATGCTTGGAGGGCAGAGAAAGTTGTTGGTGTCTCGTGTCAGCCCAGGCTTTTGCAGGAGGAGCAGGGCAGGGTGGATCTGTTCCCAAATGGTGCCAGTCTGTCCTGTGCCTGCTCCCACTGCAGAGCTCAGCTGCTGTTCCCTGGGCTGGGCTGGAAGAGTGAATCCCCCCTCTCTTTGCAGACCACCCGTGTGGGGAGAAGAGAAAACGAAGTCTAGAGGATGAAGGAGAGGAAGATGCAGAGGACGAAGAGGATGATGAGGATGACTGATCCCAGCGAGCCAATCAGTTTTACAGACTCTGACTGTGCTTGTCTTAACCTCCCCGTTGTGTCTGTGTGAGACTGTAAATCCCTGTCTCCCACTCCTCCTCCTCCCCCTTTGTATGGCTGCAGCGTCCACAATATATTTTTTTAAGATTTAGAATACTGTAGGCATTCAGGGGAATCTTCCATACAAGGCTCACTTTTTTCTCACAAGTATCTCATGACCAAAGGCTTTTCTCCGTTCGGTGGTTTGTGCAGCAGCTTAAAAAAAAAAAAAAAAAAAAAAAAAAAAAAAAATCTCCTCCTTAGGGTATCTGTGTGTCCGAAATCAGCTGTGCCACACTGGACCCAGAGCTCCAGCTGTCACCCTGCCAGCACAGAAGGCCTTTGCCACCCTCGTGCCCTCAGCCCAGGGCTCTGGAGATGCTTTTTGAGCCACCTCGGGTGCAAAATCTGGTTCGTCTGCGTGGACTCACAACGATCCTGAGGGTGTCTCAGATCTGAAATCATGGTGATGTGATCTCTGGACATGCTTGAAGATGCTTTAGTGCTGGGGATGGGGGGTGCCTGGGGTTTTGGGGGGAGGGGGGAGGGAGGGGCTGCTTGCATGACCTGGTACCTCTGCCGATGCACCTTGCAGTAACCCTGCACTTGCTTTCCTATTTTATTTTATAAACTGGAACATTTTTCCCAATGGCCACTTAAGAACCATCCCTAGGGCTGTCCCAGGTGAGGGAGGTTTTTGTGGCTGTGTCTGTGCTGCGGGGAGCCCTGCAGCAGCTTTGGGAAGGGATAGGGAATGCAGGTGAGGGGATACTGCTCCTCCACCCCTCATTTCACACTGTACAGCCCTGTGCAGCCACCATCACTGTGATGCTCCTGCAGACCGTGTTAGCCTGGAAATTCTCAGGGTCCTTCTGCCAGCCAGTGCCACCTCTGCACGGGCCCCTGGTGCCAGCCTGGCCTGGCCATCCTCCTCTTCCTCCTCCCGGGAACAGAGCTCCTGCTCCCCCCTTGTGTCCCCGCTGTGGGGGTGGCACCCCGAGCTGGCTGGAGGGAGGACTGGGGGAAGCCAGCCGGGTGCATGCAGCATTCCCAACCCCATTCCCACCTTCCCTGCCATCCCAGAGGTGTCCAGCCAGCGCATCCCTTGGGAGAAGGGCCCGGGGAGGGAGGTGGGGGCAGCCCGGGGGTGCAGACAAGCACTGGCACTTTGTGGCATTCCCGCTGGGGCTCCGAGTGCCCCCGGGGCCGAGCTCCAGCCCTGCCCTCCCCTCCCGGGGGGCGTGGGGTGTGTTCAGCAGCACATCCCCCTTCCCGTCTCGCTTTGCTGGTGTCTCTTGCATTGTACAGTCGCTGTGACCATTCGGAGAAGAAGTAATCCTGTAAAATGCAAACTGAGTAACTTATAAATGTTTAAGGAATTTAAAAAAAAAAAAAGAAAAAAAAAAAGTCAGAGCAGCAGTTACTTCTAATTTTTTTTCCCTGCATTTTTAGCAGATTGTATGGATTTTATATTAGCCTAGTAACTGTCAGGTTTTGATTGGTCGGACTAGTCCCAGAAATAAGGATCTCCAGCCCTTTTGTATCTTTTGTTACAAAATTTGGATAAAACTTTTAATAAAGACTTCAGTTTTTAAAAATCCATTGCTATGGAGCTTGTCTTGGCTGCCTCTGCCTTGGGACCAGCCAGGAATGCTCGGAGTGGGGGCTCTGGGGCACGTTTGGGTTTCTGCTGGGAGCAGGGACTGTCCCCTGTCCCCGCGAGGGCTGGGTTTGGGACAGAGAGGGGGCTCTGCTGTGGGGTGGGGTCCCAGCACCATGGGCTCTGCAGGACCCCCATGGGCCAGAGCTGGGCCCCGGCTCAGGGACAGCTTGGGAAGGGGCTCCCTCCTGCCTTCTGGGGTGGCACCTGGAGGAGGCAGGGCAGTGTTCCGCGGGCTGGGGGCCAGGGCAGTCACCTGTGCCAGCTGGGCATGGGGGCTGAGCTGTGCCCCCTGCCCTGTCCCTTTGGCACCTCGGGGTCCCTCCTTTTGGGGTGCTCTGTGACCCCGTGCTGGCACTCTGCCAGGTCTCAGCAGCTCAGGGACACTTCAGGGTGTCCATCAGGGCCTGATGTGACCGTGCTGGGCTGGGGAGGGCACGGTGCCAGCTCAGGGGGGCTGCAGGAGAGAGCCCCGGGGCATCCCGGGGTGCTGCTCACCCTGTAGGGGATAGAGGCAGGAGGGAAGGATGGCAGCAGGAGGAGGAGGGGATGGCAGCAGGAGGAAGGAGGGATGGCAGGAGGAAGAAGGGATGGCAGCAGGAGGGAAGGATGGCAGCAGGAGGGGATGGCAGCAGGAGGGGAGGCAGGAGGAAGAAGGGATCGCAGCAGGAGGAGGAGGGGATGGCAGCAGGAGGAAGGAGGGATGGCAGGAGGAAGAAGGGATGGCAGCAGGAGGGAAGGATGGCAGCAGGAGGAAAGGATGGCAGCAGGAGGAAGGGATGCCCACCTGCCCAGGTGGCCATGTGCCTTTCTGAGCCCTGTCCCGGTGTTTGTGGCCCCTCCCAGCGCTGGCAGCAGCAGAGCAGAGCAGGGGCTGCCGGCTCTTGCGTCGCTCCCATCCCTCGCTCCCAGCCAGGGCTGGCGTGGGCACCAGCAGGTCCCAGCACGCCTCCCCTCAAACCAGTTTGCAGCAAACTTTTCACCCCGCTGGGCTGGGCCTGGCAGAGCGGGACTGGGGGAGCCCCAGGCTGCTCCCACGGGGGGTGCAGCCCCCCAGGCTGGGCACCTGCGCCCTTGCCCCTCCCAATGGCTCTTCTGGGCCATTCCATGCCCTCTGTCTGCAGCAGGGCTGGGACAGGCAGGGAGGCTGCCCGGGGCTTGGGGTCCCACCCTGCTCTGGTTGCTGGCGTGCAGATGGCAGAGGCTCCAGCCCTGCGTGCTCTGGCAGGGGGCAGGGGCAGCACGGAGTGTCCCTTCCCCTTCCTCAGACCTTTCCCTTCCTCAGACCTTCCCCTTCCCAAACACCTCCCTTTCCCAAACTTTCCCCTTTCCCTTTCCCAAACTTTCCCCTTTCCCTTTCCCAAACTCTTCCCTTTCTCCTTCCCCAAGCCAGCCCCTGGCAGCGCCATCCCTGGAGCACAGGGTCACACCCCCTGTGTCCCCACGTCCCCCTCCTTTGGTTTTGGGGGGCTCCTCAGGGCCAGCCCCACTCGCCCCTCCCCACGGGGACTGACAGAGCCTCTCCCGGCTGCCGCTCCTGTACAATTCCCATTTATTTTTCCGAGATCTCATTCCAGAGAAGTCCACTAACTCCTGAGAACCTACTGGGCTCCCCGCAGAGCCCCCGGGGCTGAAGCAACAAAACCTTTCGGGGAGGGAGATACGGCGGTTCCGGCTGCGGCAGAGTCCCGAAAATAAAAAGGAAGGGGAGAAATTCCAGGGGAAACATCGGCCCCTCTGCTGCTCCTGTCCCCAGGGAGGGCTGCCTGTCCCAGCACAGTGGCAGGGCTGTGCTGTGCCCCCTGCCCAGCTCGGGGCAGGGACGGGGAGGTGCAGGAGAGTCCCTTGGGAGCCGAGGGCATCAAAGCTGGGAGTACAGGGAGTTCTCCATCTCCGGCGGCAGCTTGGCATGGAACGGGGCCAGGCCCACCCCGAAATCTGGAGGGAGAGGGAAGAGAACTGTCAGCACCTCGTGGGGGGGCATCAGAAGGGTTGGGGGGCACAGCCAGGGCACTGGAAAGGCACACAGACACCCCCAAGGCACTGCAGGGGCTGGGGGCACAGGGGGGGCACACAGATACCCCCAGGGGCATTGCAGGGGCTGGGGGCACAGGGGGGGCACACAGATACCCCCAGGGGCATTGCAGAGGCTGGGGGCACAAGGGGGGCACAGGGAGGGCACAGAGACCCCAAGGGCATTGAGGAGCTGGGGGCACAGGGAGGGCACTGGGGGGGCACACAGACACCCCAGGCCATTGCGGGGGCTGGGGGCACAGAGGGGGCACACAGACCCCTCCAGGGCACTGCTGCAGGCTGAGGAAGCAGGGACTGGAACCCGGCCAGGCTGTGCCAGGCCAGAGGGAGCAGGATGTGCCTTATCCCTGCGGATCCCTGCCACCCCCACGAGCATCCCGGCAGCCGGGGGGGTCCCTCCCGTACCCATCTCGGCCTCCAGGCGCCCGGGCTGGGGGTTCTTGCGGTGGTCCTCGATGTGCAGGGTCATGTCCTCGCGGGAGGCGGTGGAGAAGGGGCACTGCGTGCAGCTGTAGCGGCCCCGCGTGTGCTCCCAGACGATGCGGCTGTTGGAGGAGTGCCCTGCAAGGACGGGCGGGCAGGGAAGCACAGGGATCGCCCGGAGCCGGGGGGTGCCGCGGGGCGATGGGGGCTGGAGCCCCCCCCCCCGAGCCCCACTCGCTCAGGGGTTCCCTTCCCGAGGGAAGAACCCCGAATGTGGGAGCAGGGGGCCAGGCAGCGAAGGGCACGGCGGGTTCTGGGCTCGGACTGGGGGCACTGGGGGCACTGGGGGCACTGGAGCCAGGCAGCTGCTGCTGCTGCTCCTCCTCCTGCTGCTTCTGCCCTCGGGGCCAGGCTGGGGGGTTTTGGGGGGGTGCAGTCGGTAACCCCCCTGCCTCCGAGCCCACCGGGGCCACATCCCCTCTCCTCGTGGCTCCCAAAAAAGGAGGGAGCCCGCCCTCCCCCTCTGCTCTCCGGGGAGCACCGCAGTGCCCCTGGGGCATCTCCCATCCCCTGTGGCCCCCCCCGCCGCCCCCCAAACCCCCCAGTGACAGAAAGCAGCCCCCACCCAGCAGGTGCCAAACTAACCTGGAGTCACTCCTGAGCCAAAGCATGGGAGGAGTGGGCTGACACTCACACCTGCGGAGGGAATCGAGGGCCAAGACAAGCATTAGGTCTTCCCCTCCCTGGGGGGGACTCGTGGGGGGGCAGGCCTGGCCCGGCCCCCCCGCCTCGCACCCCCAGCACGCCGGGGAGCAGCAGGCCCGGGAGAATTTGGAGGCGTTTTTTTGGCGCTCGCCGGTGCTTTTGCCCAATCGAACATCACAGAGGGGGTGGCACGGGCGGGACGGGGCTTTTTTTTTTGGGGGAGGGGGGATGGCCGGGCCGGAGGGGAGGAGGGGGCCGGATCCTCGGCTGGGCGGCGGCGGGTCCTCCTCGGGAGCTGCTGCTGGTCAAGGCGGGAGCAGAAGAAGGTTTGTCCCGCACGGCTCCGCGCTCTCACCTTGGCTTTTCTTCCAGACGGCGTTGGAGACGCTGGGGGGGCCGTGGCCCGGCAGGAAGGGCCGCAGGCGGTGCTGAGCCGGGGGCTGCGCCAGCCCGTAGGGCGAGGGGGGCACGTAGGGCAGGAAGGGCCCCGGCACCGAGGACGGGGCCGGCCCCGAGAAGCGAGTCAAGGACGAGGGCCCGAACAGGCCGGGCTCCAGCAGCGGGAAGGGGTGCGGGGCCCCCGACCCCAGCGGCTCCAGCGGGCCGGGCAGCGCCGCCGGGGCAGAGTCCGCGCCCGCCGCCGGCGATTCCTTCTGCAGGGGCCGCAGGGCGCTGGGCGGCTTGGGCAGCGCCTCGGGGGGCTTGGGGGGCTCCTTGTCCGCGGCGGAGGCAGCGGGAGGCAGCGCGGGCCGCGGGGCCGGCGCGGGGCCGCTGGCGCTGTCGGAGCAGACGTGCAGGTGCTTGAAGAGCGAGCGGTGCGTGCGGAAGCGCAGCAGGCAGTTCTCACACCTGAGCCGGGAAAGAGCCGTGACAGAGACTGCGAGCGGCTGAGGGGCACGCGGGGACCGTTCTTGGCCAAAATTACAGTGCCTGGGCACGAGGCTCACACATGGATAAGCCCGGGGCTGAGCCCAGAGCTGCCACTGTCCCTTCCTGCCTCTTTGTGGTCTCCAAAGCCCCCAAACATCCCACCCAGGCATCACCAGGATCCTGCTCACATCCAGCCCACTGGACAGCCAACTGTAGCCACAATTTCCCCCAAAGTGGGGGAATTCCTCCACGCATCCTCCAAGGGGATCCCCTCCAAGGCACAGCCAGACCAGGGATTGCTGGAGCTGCTCCTGCTCCCAGGGCTGGGGGGCTCACTGGGTGCTCCCCTCAAAATCCCAAAGGGTTTTCCAGCCAGGAGGAGCAGCAGCTCCCACTGAGTGCCTGGGAGATGATGATGGGCACGTGGGGATGGTTCTTGCCCAAAATTACATTGGCTTGGCAAGAGGCTCCCACATGGATAAACCAAACTTGAATTCCCAGTGAAAATCATCTGGAAAACCCCCTCAGTCTGGGAGATTTCTCTGTAGTGTCTTCATGTTGGAGTGAGAGACAAAATGGTGCTAATAATGGCAATAATAATGCTGCTCATAAATAATAAGCAATGATGAAAATAAGGAGAAAAGGATCAAATAAAAAGGATAAAAGGGTAAAAATATTTATAATAACGCTGGTAATTATGATAATAATAATAATGACAATAATATCAGTGCTTGGGCTGTGAAGTGGGCACTGGCAGATGCTTCCCCAAGAGCTCAATAACTCCTTGGGGGATCTCCCTGGAGATCAGCTCTGCTGGCCAGGTGTCCCCAGAGAGGACGGGAGGGACACACGGAGCAGCAGGACGGGAGGGACTCACTTGAAGTAGCGGTTGGGTTTGTAGTGCAC